ATGGATTAGTGGGGGTATGGAGGAGTGCTGGAGTTATAGAGAAGGGAGCCATGAATGGTTCATTGAAAAGCAGCCAGGAGCAGTAGCTCATCCCTGTAATCCCTGCATTTTGGGAGGCTGAGGCAGGTGGATCACCTGAGGTCAGGAGTTTGAAACCAGCCTGACCAACATGGTGAAACCCCTTATCTACTAAAAATATTATATATATATTTATACATATATTTATATGTGCCAGACGTGCTGGCAGGCACCTGTAATCCCAGCTACTCAGGAGGCCAAGGCAGGAGAATGGCTTGAACCCTGGAGGCAGAGGTTGCAGTGAGCCAAGATCGCACCATTGCACTCCAGCCTGGGCAACAAGAGCAAAACTCCCCCTCCAAAAACAAAGAAAAGAGGAAAGAAAAGCTACACACAGAAAAGCGACATCTTAGTATGGCACCTTCCTCCTGCACAACGTAGAGGTATCTACTCACTCTACTGTCCTCTCTGGCCACTGTAAAAGGATGAACAGGAGTTGGCTAAAGAGAAAAGGATAGTCCAAGCAGACAGAACAGCATATGCACAGGTAGGAATTTTGAAAGTTACTGTAAACTCAGAGAAGAGAGTGAGTTTATGTGAGTGGAGCCCAGGTAGCTCTAGGGAGAATGACACAAGATAAAACCAAAGAGGTAAACTGAGGCTTGACTGTGATGTTTATATGCCTTCTACTAAGTGTGACTTTTACACAAGGAATCAAGGAACACTGTATATAGCTAGACTTCAAAGACGTTCCTCCCACACAGACACAACTGATGATTGTGTTACCTTTCTCCCACAGTGAATCAAGCTTGGTCCTACAGAATCAATAGGGTGTGGCACAAGTGGCACTGTGTGACTTCAGAGGCCACCACGGCTTCCGCCTTAATATCTTGGAATGTTTGTTCTAGGTGAAATAAGTTACCATTTAAGAATTCCAACTATCTTGAATCCACCATGTTGTGAGCAAGCATGGCCTAAGAGACACCATGTTAAGAGACTTGCTCCTGCCATCTCCGGGATCAACCTTTTTGAGCCTTCAGTGAACTCCAGCCCCAGCCCACATCTGACTGCAACTGCATGAGAATCCAAACAGAGGACAGAGTAGCTGTGTGCTGGGCACGGTCAACACACAGAACCTGAGTGAGAAATACAGTGTTTGGGTTTTTCTCTTTGTTTGTTTTGCTTTGAATCACTACAGTTTGGGGTGGTTTATTATGTTGTACTACACAATTGGAATAGCAATGAGACATGAAGATTTGGGGTTTTTGGAATCAGCCTGGAGGCAGCAGGAAGGATGGGTTAAAGAACACAGAGGCTGAAGGTATCAAGATGTTAGGAGGCCTTTACAGGAGGAGAAGTGGATGTCAATCGGAATGGAAAAGAAAGGCTGGAATCTAGAGATACTTGTGAGGTGGAACCGACGGGATATAAAGAGCAAATACATGTGCAGTGGAAAAAAGAGGAAGATGTAAATCTTTCAGGTTTTTCCCAAAGAGAAGAAGTAGAGTACAGTGTTCTTAATAGAAATAAAGGCCTATTAGGGAGGGTAGGTAATGAAATGTGTATGCCCTGATGGTGAGGGGTTTACAGGGAAATATTAGTGAACATTCCAAAGGCGCTGGAAATTTTGGTTGAGGACACAGGGAAATGGGGGCTGTACATAGACATACACATAGGATCACTGTTCCGTATGGTAATGGTGGAAGTTCCACAGGTGAAATTGCCAAGAGAACATGTGCAGGGCAATAAGTGGAGAGAATAAATGATGGAACTCTGAAAGGCGAACCCAGCGGTCAGAGGAGGAGAGCCCATTAAGGAAACTGGCAAGGGTAAGTCAGAGAAGTCAGAAGAGAAACAGGAGACTCATGTCTTATAAACGGAGGGACAAGAGAATGTCCAGAAATAATGGGTTTTCATTGTAAAAAGTAAGGTGAGACTGTGGTATATGGTGTTGACAATTAAAAAGTCATCACGGCTCTAAACAGGACTACTTTTAATATCCTGACATTGATCAGAGTACTTTAAGAAGCTGATTGGAGGTTTAACAAGTAAAGACTACAAATATAGATTACTCTTTAAAGACAGTTGATGGTAAAATGAGGGAGGAAGAAAGATAAGTTAGTTTCTTTGAGCATGATTTTGGTCTGAGGACGGGTTTGCTAGCAAAAGCTCTCTAAGCGAATCAGAGGGGAGGATAGAAAGGTCTTCAGAGTTAACGATTTTACAGGCTTCTGCTCTCCAACTGCGGTCAACAGGTCAGTAGCATCAGCATCACCCGGGAGCTTCTTAGAAATGCAGAATCTCAGGCCATGCTGCAGGCCTAGTGAGTCAGAATCTGCATTTTAATAAGATTCCCAGGTGATTAACATGCACATTAAATTACTCACTGCAGTAGGTCAAGACAGAAATGTGAAGGAAGGAAGGAAGATACAGAACTTGTGTAGATACTACAGTACTCAGGCCATTTTTTCTTGTTCAATCACTTAGGCATGCTTTGGTTTTTATCTGAGATGTAATGAGAAATGTTTAGAACATCCTTTAAGGGCTTCCAAATTCTTGGCATATATGGAAAATGAAGGTCTGTGTGAAGAGAAATCTCCTCTAATGAAATCCAGATGAAAATCCAGATCAGCCTTCCTCTTGGTAGGATTATCTATAGTGAAGGTGGAGATAGTATCATTGCTTCAGCCTCACTCCCAGATAGTCTGCTTTATTTGGTCTGAAGTAGAACTGGCACTACTATATACCTGTATATATACCAGTTATATATATGTGTGTGTGTGTGTATATATATGTATATATGAATATAACCGGTATATACATGTGTGTGTGTATATATATAATTGGTGTGTGTATATATATGTGTTTGTGTGTGTGTGTGTGTGTGTGTATACATATATACACACACATATATCTTGTGTGACTCTATTATGCTGCCAGGATTGAGAACCACTGAGAATTCAAGTAAAGCAGTGGCTCTCAACCACATCTGTACATTGGAATCACTTGGAGAGCTTTAAAGATGACTGATAGCCAAGTCCCACCCCCAGCGATTCTGATTCAATTAGACTGAGGTGCAGTCTTAAAGATGATCCATCGCTATTATCCTTAATCTTAGCTCTTTAAGGTACTCCCTTCCTTTACCTCAGTGGTTCTCAAACTTAGCTGGCCCCGCTCCGCTCGGGCCACAGTCAAATCACCTGGGGGCTCTGAAAACTGCCAATGTCCAGGCACTTCTACCAGCAAAAATGCCTGTATCAGCAATCAGATCTTAATGGTGAAAAGAAGGCACACTTCCTTCTTCTTACAGGGGTATTCTCATAGCACTCAATCTGAGCCATTCGACTTGACTCTTATTTACTCAATCAACAAGTGTTTGTTAAGCACATATTATGTACATAAGCTAGTGCCCCACTGCTCTTTATTTGTAAAATAGGTATGCACACTTCATCTACCCAGCAAGACTAGTTTTTGATGGAAACATGTTTACACTTCCTTTCTGCTTCCCAGTGTCTACTATAAAAGGTTAGCATTACTGCTTAGTGTTTTACCACACCAAATATTTCCATTGAATAGAATCCAACAGCAATAGCAAAGTACACGGTACAAAGCTAGGTAGAATTTTGGAATGTTATATTGTTTTTGCTATTTCCTGTGAGACATGAACCCTCTGAAGTCTTTCTCGAGATCTGCAATATAGTTTGGAATGCTTTTTTCCCCCGTGGCTGGGAGATCACACTGGAATCATCTGAGGTACTCGTTATCAAGTGCAGATTACTGGGTCTCACTTTAGACCTACCAAGTCAAAATCCTTGTGTATGGGCTCTAGAAACCTGTATTTTTAACAAGCACTCCACGTTCTAATTCTAATGCATTCTAGAATTTGAGAACTGCTGCCTTAAAAAGGTGAGTAGGAAGAACTAACATGAATAGAATGCCTACTACCTGTGAAATTCAGTATTTAATGAGCACCCGTCTTGAGTCTGAACAGTGCTGGCACATTACAACAATGAATGAAAGAAAGTCCTGGGGTACATGTTCTGGGGGCACTGTGTCTCGGGTGAAAAAAATTAAAATTAAAAAAAAAAGGAAGGAAGGAAGGGAAGGGAAGGAAGGAAGGAAGGAAGGAAGGAAGGAAGGAAGGAAGGAAGCTAGGAAGGAAGGTTGGTTCTTAGAGAGAGAAAGCGAAGAAAAGAAAGAGTCCTCACCATAGAGTTGCTAATAGAGTTGCTAACAGAGTCAATTAGTGCCCTGGGTGCCTCATTAAGAATGATAATATAAAAGCAATACACTTAGTATGTTAGGCTTTTCAGAGATCATATATTTTAATTCTCACAACCTCCAGGTGAGATAGGCATTCTCCATCCTCTCTTTACCAAAGGTGAGACTGAGGCTCAGAGAAGTAGCCTGAGACAGCAGCGCTGATGAGCCAAGATTCAACCTCAGAACCTCTGAGTCCCACTATTCTTTACTAGAGGTAGAGAGGTAAGTTCAGATGAATTTCTACTTCCACTTAGTTCAAGAAGCAGAGTTGTTTCAGATGCTAGAAGGTATCTATAACAAGCAGTCACATCTCTGTAGTTCTAGTGCCGCCGCTGCCAGCAAGTTTGTTGTGACCCTGGCGGCCGAGTTACTTTCTGCGCTCTGGGCGTTCTCGCAATAAACAGTCACCTTTGGGACTTCATTTCCCAGCAAGCCCCGCGGCCGCCTACCGCGCGAGGGATGCCGGGCACCTCGTCCCCCGTCTTCTCTGGCTGAGCTGCCTGGCGGAAGCGGGAACGGCGCAGCCTGACGTAAAGGTGCACGGCATCCTGGGACATGTAGTCTGGCTGGGGCTCGGACGCCCCCTCGGATGAATGGGACCGAGGCTGACTGCGAACTACAGATCCTTGGTGGCAGCGTCGGTGTTGACCGCGGGGGAAGGGGAGACCCGGCGCTCCCGGTGAGAGCGGCTCTCCAGGACCGTGCGATGTGCTGCGCTGCGGCGAGGCAGGAGGCCGGCTTCCTGGGGTAGCGGTATAAGCGGGCGCTTACTCTGTGCGCTCGCTCCCCGAACCCTGCACCGGCCATGCGCCCGGCCTTGGCGGTGGGCCTGGTGTTCGCAGGCTGCTGCAGTAACGTGATCTTCCTAGAGCTCCTGGCCCGGTGAGTGACCCGCTCGGGCCGCACCCGGTCTCCCGGGGCGGGGCGGAGGAAGCCGGAGGAGAGGTCCCCCCGGGACGCGCCCACGCCCTGGCCCCACCCCGCCGCCCACGGAGCCCGGGGCAGGACGGCCTGAGCCCCTCAACAATCCGTCCTGTCTGGGCAGCCTGGGACCCCGCTGAGTGCGCTGCTTCCCAAAACTGCGCACCGGCCGCAGTCCCGCCTAACAGTTTCAAAGCATTCCTGCGGGGGGGAACACTCAAGGTGTTGCTGTTGTCACCCCTTTTCCACATTCGGGGGGGATTGATTGAAGCCTGAAGAGTTTTTCACATAACCGGTCCAAGGTCGGCGGAGAGCTAGTGTCAAAACCAAGGTTCCTTCACCAAACCACTCTCTCTCTTCCTTCCCATCCAACTCCAGCTCTTTTTTCGATCCTGTTAAATGGCACAGGCTGGACTTGAGCAGAGGTTTTTGACGTACAGAGTCTTTGTACATGCTGCAAAGAAAGTTTTACTTTTATTACGGCGTCCTGCAAAGCATTTGCTTTATTGGCCTTGGAGATGGTTATGAGTGCATACATAAATGATGCGGTAGAACAGATTTTTATGTAGAAGATCAGTCCACGTGACCCGAGAGTGCTCTTTGAGGTGGCTTGCAAAAAGAAAAAAAAAAAATTATATAGAAGATTGGTTCAAGTGACCCGAGAGGGCTCTTTGAGGTCGCTTTGAATGTGCAAAGTTCAGTGGATAGAAGCTATTACAGAAGAGACAACAGGTGGTGTGGAAAAGGCTCTAGGACTAAAAAGCTGTGTTGTGAAATTTCACTCTTGGCTCCGTCATCCTCTGGCTGTGTAGCCCTTCAAGTCACTTAGCCTCTCTGGGCCTCCTTTTCCTGGCAGTAAAACAATACTTATAGTGTTTTCCAGCTCGTGTTTCTGAATCTATACATTACAAGTTGAGTATCCTTCATTTAAAATGTTTGGGAACGGGTGTTTTGTATTTCGTTTTTTTTTTTTTTTTATTTGGGAATATTTGCATATACATAATGAGATATTTTAGGGATGGTACCCAAATCTAAACACAAATTCGTCTGTGTTTCTTATACACCTTATACACATAACCTTAGCTTGAAGGTAATTGTATACAATATTTTTAATAATTTGTACATGAATTAAAGTTTGTATACACTGACCTATCAGAAAGCAAAGGTGTCAGGTGTGGAATTTTTCACTTGTAATATCATATCAGTGCTCAAAAAGTTTCAGATTTTTTAGAGCATTTCAGAGTTCAGATTTTCAGATGAGAGATACTCAGCTTGTATCTCTGTTGATCATCCGAACAATCCTGTGCAGAAGATAGGTCAAGAATTATAAACTGTTTTACTGAAGTGGAAATGGTCCAAAGAAGTTAGGTGACCTTTCACTGCTTGTAAGTGGCAGAGCCAGAAATGGGAGCCAAGATATCTAAGCTTCTAGTCCAATACCTTTTTCAACCTCCCTGCCAGTTTTGAACTTGAGCAGCCCATAGATTTTGGTTATCCAGTTCTTCATGTGGTGCCTACTAGAAGTTTATTTTATTGGATATCATTGATTAAGTCATCCCGAAGCAACCAGTTTATTTAAGGTAAAGTCTGTATGGGGTTAAGTTTTGCTGTTATGGAGCTTGAAATTTTGTTATACAGAAAGTGTTGATAAAGGTCTCTTATTTGACTTAGGTTGAGGGTCTTTTATTTGACTTGGGTGAGGGTGGTGAGGGATATAAAAATGACAAAAAAAAATTGTATCCAACTGTAAGTCTGATACACTTTTAAAGGAAGGCCACTTTGGTAGCAGTTGATGTGAAAATATAAAAAAGTCGGCCAGGCACAGTGGCTCACACCTGTAATCCTAGCACTTTGGGAGGCCAAAGTGGGTGGATCACGAGGTCAGGGGTTCAAGACCAGCCTGGACAACATGGTGAGACCCCGTGTCTACTAAAAATATAAAAATTAGCTGGGCATGGTGGCGGACACCTGTAATCCCAGCTACTCAGGAGCCTGAGGCAGGAGAATCCTTAGAACCTGGGAGGCAGAGGTTGCAGTGAGCCGAGATAGCACCATTGCACTCCAGCCTGGGCAACAATGCGAGACTACGTCTCAAAAAATAAAAAAAGAAAATATCAAGAAGTGATTTCATCAGGCCAGCCATGGAAATGAAAGTCAGGGAATAATGGTAATATTTGTGTTGAATATGCCATTAAATTAAATCTTGCCAAAGGCTATATGACATGAGAATATGCAAGCAACTAAATCCCCTCTTTACTACTTTGTGAGCCCCTGACTGAATTACTTGATCTCCCTGAGTCTGACCCAACTGTAAAAGGAGGTAATGGTGATGATGGTTCTTCCAGCTTCACAGAGTTTTGAAGGATGAAGTGAGATGTGCGTGTAAAGCCTAAAGCACACTTGTAGGGCTTCCCATTCTTTCCAACAACTTGGTTTCAATACAGATATATTTCCTTTATGAGATGGTCCTGCAAAGTCCTGAACAAATCTGATTTTACAAAATATTTTCATGCATTATAGGAGCTTCTATTTAAAATATTTTGAATAATTTGTAAATAAATCATCACTTCTTATTTTGTTTGGTAAATCTGCATTTTTTGCATAAAACAATGGTTTTTCATAAAGTGGTGAGGAGGTGCATTTATTGAAATAATCAATGGTGCACCAGACTGAATAGAGCCCTTTCCTAATTTGCTTAGACAAGTCTCTACTTCTCGTGTTACAGATCAATAAAATAAGAGCTAGTTGAACCAGATGGCCTTAAGTTTCTTTCTAGATATGGCCTCGGAATTTGTGACTTTATCTTGGGACATCACAGTGGAAGAAGGCCCATAAATTTTTATAGCGTAGGAACTGTGCTTTTTATATTGGCTGGCTTGGAGCCATTAGGTGCTCTAATAAGTAGCAAGTATAATACTAAATATAAATGCTAAGTGACTTGCAGGAAGAAGAGGACATTTTTAACCATTTTCCCCAAATTGGAAAACAAATTTAGGCTTTTCTTTCTGATTTTTATACCTACAATTGGGACCAATATTAAAACACAATGCAGTGGACAGAGCAGATAGGTAGTAAGGGACGAGTGCCTTGATATTCCTCCTTAGGGAGCTTACATTCTACCTTGGAAACAAGATATACACACACCAGCTAACTAGGCAAGATATTACATGCCTTACATCAGGAAAACAATCTGAAACTTTTTTTTTCCCATTTTATTTTTCATTCAAGTGCCTGATCTTGAATTAAATCGTTTCCTAAATTCAGCAAAAGAAATGCAAAAGGCATAAACTATCTGCCCAATTCATTCTCTTCAAAGTTGCATCCTTTTTTAAATAAAAATTTGAATTTTTGCCAAGAGAATTCAAAGTAAGAGAAACTGTTTGCGGTTAGTGATTACAATTCCTGAGGAATCGAGCTCAAGAAAACAAGATTAAGGGATCCAAGTTTTTACTCTGAAGTTTTAAAATGAATTATTCAAGTTAAAATAAATAATTCCATTGGTAGCTATACAACAGTGTGTTTCGAAAAGGCTTCATAAGTTGAGTTTTCAAAAATTATTTGAGCACATTAGGGAGATTTGTAAATTCTATAGAAATAGAAACAAAAAGTAAATGAGGGTTGTTGCTGGACTGGGAAAAGCAAGAAATGGAAAGTGACTCAAAATGGGAGTAGAATATCTCTTGGAAGTGTCCTAACATTAGTGGCAATTATTGCACAACTAAAAACCCATACCAAACCCCACTGAATTGTAATAATCATAATGCTAAGGGTAACGGCAAATGCCATTTCTTTGCCACTGACCCCTGGGAGACTTACCTAACGCAGTGCAATGGGACCCTCAGCGTCTTTAGCAATGGAATGAAATGGGCATATCAATACCCACCTCCATAAAATAAAAAGTACTAGGATGTCCTTTTAAAAAATCCTATAGAGAATACACATGTAAAGTGAATCGTTTTTTAAATCTCTTTTTATCTCTCGTAGAAATTATAAGATTCTAGATCACATTGGAACACTCCCATTCATTCTCTTTCTTGAGCGAAGGTGGGTCACTGATCCAAAAGTGAGAGCAGAAAGGTAAAGGGACATGGTCTGTCCCCTCACCATCCCTGCTAAGGCACTGGCTTCTGACGGCCTCCTCCTTCATGTCTGGCTCCCTCATATTGTCATCTTCTTGGGCAGGGATCCAGTCCCCTTCAAGCTGGGGGCTCCCTGGTAGCTGCCACCTAACTGTACACATAATTGGGTCTTGATCATTGTTCTTTAGCTGACTTGGCCTAAGCTTGTTAAAGAGAACATAGAAGGAAACTTTTAAGCCTCTTTTGGATTAAGTCTTGTGCTTGGCGCTTATATGTATTTTCTCATTGAATACTCACTACAACAGTGAAGTCAGTTTCATTTTAGAGATGAGAAAACTTAGTCAACTGGAATGTCTTTAAAAGGGGGAGGACCTTTTAAAGACTGAAGACCTTTCAGTATGCAAGATCCTGAATACTGGTCATCATACTTGCCTTTTTCACTCTGTGGCAGGCACTGTGTTAAGTGCTTTTCAGGGATGACTCATTTACTCTACAATAAATCAAAGAGATAGGCACTTATATGGTTTCCATTTTAAAGATAAAAACACCAGACTTAGATATTCACTTCTGTCACACAGCAAGTGACAGAGCATCATCTCGCATGTCAGTGTGTACTTTTAAGCACAGTGGAGCATGGTGGTTCCCAACCTTGTGTCAGCACCTGAGAACTACCTGTGCATTCACAAACACAGCGATACATGCACTCACACACACTCTCAACCCTTTCCCTGCACCTCAACTGCTATTTCTCCAACCTGGCTGCACATGACAATAAAGTGGAAAGCTTTTAAAAGGTCAGATTCCAGGGTCCTACCCCAGACTAATCAAATTAGAAGTGGGAGAGTGAGCCTCTTTGGGTAAATAGGTTGTTTTTTTGTTGTTTGTTTTTGAGACAAGAGTCTCGCTTTGTCACTCAGGCTGGAGGGCAGTGGCGCGATCTCAGCTCACTGCAACCTCCACATCCCAGGTTCAAGTGATTCTCCTGCCTCAGCCTCCCGAGTAGCTGAATTATAGGCATACACCACCACACCCAGCTAATGTTTTGTATTTTTAGTAGAGACAGGGTTTCACCACGTTGGCCAAGCTAGTCTCAAACTCCTGATCTCAGGTGATCCACCTGCGTTAGCCTCCCAAAGTGCTGGGATTACAGGTGTGAGCCACCATGCTGACCATTTGGGAAACAGGTTTTTAAAGAGCAGAGTAGGCTGGCCCGCATTCCAAAGCACCGTGCTAGCAACCGTCTAGAGTTAAAGTTCTTTCTGTTGCTCATATTTAGGCTAGTGGTTTTAATTAGCTCCTTGAATGAGGTAAATGTCTTACATGATTATTTATGGATTCCTGCATTTAGCCTTGTCCTTTGAACATAAGAAGTGCTAAAAGAGAACTTGTTGAATTGAATAGGTAGCAGTTTTCAAGGAAACCTTCATAGGCAGCAGAACTTAAAGAGTAGCAACGGTTCTGCTTCAGTTAGTAAGCCTCGCTCTGTAGGAATGGCTCCTGCCTGGGCTGTCTTATTTTTGTGCCTGATGGGTATATTTAAGGACTTGTCTATCTTGGCATTGCTTTATATATAATACTAACACCACCAATGGAGAATGGAGTCATTTCTGATAAGTAGCATTATATTAATATGTAATAATACAGTTACATCTCTGTCTTCATCAGCTTCAGGTAAATGCCTTCAGTCAAGATGAAAACGCAGAATACGAAGGCGGGTGAATATTGGGATTATAGGAAATCTGGAAGCTTCAGGAGAGCAAAGATAACTGCTCACTTTGTTCTTCTTCCAGTGATTGAGCAGAGCTGAATGGAAGACAAGCTCAAGAAAACCTGAACATTTTAAATGACTGGTTTTCAGAGTGCCTCAAGATGAATGTCAGGAGAAAGTTTTTAACTTTGTAAATTTGTTCCTAACAATCACTGTTGAACGTGGGGTATCTTCCCCAACTATTTCATAGACCGCTAAAGAGAATCTATTGAATTCCACAAGCATTTTTTGAGTGCCTAATATATTCAAAACACTGGGTTAAGTGTTTTGGAGAATAGTAGACTACGGCAGTGTTTTTCAGTCTTTTGTTCATTATGCCTCTTCCAGAATACTTTTTAGACGTTGTTTTCTTAATCCCTCCCCCAGGTGTACTGGTTCAGGTACTGTATGTATATTTGTATTTTATTATTATAAAAAGAATAAGATTCCCCCCATCCCAAGAACCAAGTTTTGCCCCGTTGCTGGGCACCATTACCATTAAAGTAATGTCCCTATCATCAACATTGGGTTCATTTTTCATTTGACAGCAGTCTTGGTGATTCCTGGTCAGGAGGGATATATAAACATTCCAGGAGACCTGAGCATATTTCTGTCTCTGGGCTTTGCTGCCTAAGCTGACTAGGATCCTGATTAAAGACCTTTTTGGTGAAGCAAAGATCCCAATAAGAACTTATGACCAATTTCCTACAGCTTACTAGGAAAGCTGTATCAGAGTTCTGGAAACAAGTGTGTCACAGTAATTCTCCCTCATGGCCTGGTACACGCAAGGAAGAGTAAAATAAGAAAGCTTGACATTCTTCTCTGTGAGATCAATGCTAAATATATGTGATCCAAAGGCTATGAACATTGAGATAAAGGACAGTGGGTAATCGAAATCCCTCCACCCTGTTATTCTGGCCCTCTAATTAGAATGCATTTTAGTGTTATCTCCATTTTTGTGCCTTTCCCCTCCTCTTTTGTTATTCACTATACAGGAAGCATCCAGGATGTGGGAACATTGTGACATTTGCACAATTTTTATTTATTGCTGTGGAAGGCTTCCTCTTTGAAGCTGATTTGGGAAGGAAGCCACCAGCTATCCCAATAAGGTATGGTACATTAGAGTCTCTTTTAGCTTTTGGATTTTTTAAGAAAGTAAAGAGGTGGTACCTGTATAAAAGGAGTATGAGACATTCTTTTGTAAGATTTATTTCAGAGATATCAGTAGAATACTAAGTCATTTTCTGAATTTAATACCTTGTGAAAATCCAGGGTGCCTACTTCCAAACTAAAATTTCTGCCACAAGATTTAAAATAACCATGATGGAGACAAGAGTGTGTATGTGTGTGTGTTCTTATTTAGTATGAGATTATTCAGAAGGCCTAGTGTGACCACAAATTTTATGCTGTCTTCTGTGTTGGTAAAGTTATCAAACATTCTAAAAGAGGAGTATCCTTGTTTCTCTTTAAAAACGAATGGCTTTTGGAAATAAATAGAGGTAGTAGTTGCATAACTTTGTGAATGTACTAAGTGCCACTGAATTGTTCAGTTTAAAATAGTTAATTTTATGTTACAAGAATTTCACCCCAATTAAAAGAAAATGAATGGCAAGCAAAGTCAAAATTTGTTGATGCCAGACCTGTAGTCCATTAGTCCAAATTTGCCTAATTGTACTAATGGGGCCAAATAGAAAACAGGGCAGTTCTTACGATAAACAATGTATTGAAAACTCACCTTTCTTGCTGAGAGTGACTCGAGATAAAAGTGTAATCCATCCAATTGTGAGAATTTAGTAGGATGGTATCACTTACTCCCTTTTAGAGCGACATTCTGGTATGAATATATCCAAGTACGAAGGCGAAGGCCCGTCTTTGTTGGTTTTCTTTTGCAGCATTCCTACGTAGCCTGCTATAGAAAATCTGGCTGAATTTTGTTAATATTATACTTTTAAAGTTCCCAATGCGATGCTAAATATTCCAGACACTTTTTGTTTTTCATTGGCTTTAGTATCTGCATAAAACTTTCTGCCCCTAAAGACCAGCATTTACATTGCAGTAAAAGCCCCAGCATTTCTTGGCTCCTCTGGCCCTTTCCCGCCTCTTCCCACTGTCTCTCCCCATTCTCTCTACCACTAGCATAGATCAGGAAGTATACCCTGTCACCGTATCTTTTATAATAGCATCCTAGCTGACTGACTTCCCTGCCTCCCACCTCGTCATCCGTCCATTTCACTTAATATCATTTTATCACGTGGCCTCACTCTGTGGTTACCATGATGTTCTGAATGACATCCAGACTCCCCAGCCTGCCCTTTGAGGGTCTCTGTGATCTTGCCCTCATAACCATATTCCCATGCATGTCCTATGTGCGGTGGCCATTTTATTTTCTGTAGGTGGAGCCATAATCAAAATTTTGCTCATGTCATTCATCCCCATCCACAATTTCTGGGCAAGCAATGTGGAATAAATTAATTGTCCTAAAAGACCTTGACAAACTCTCTGTAAATGGCACGTCTTCAAGATAGAACTAAGAAAATTTGGCAAGAAACCTGATAAAGTTGCAGATAGTATGTTGTTTAGAAGCTGTGAAGAAGCTGTTGCTGGTAATTTTGCATGTGTGTTCATTGTCAAGTTCCTCAGACTCTCCAGACTATATTAGTTTAGCCTTGGCTTGACTGGCCTGTTGTGGTGTATGGCTCCACACCTAACTAGCAATGCAGAATGGGTTCTTTCAGGGAAGATCGCTTAGGACTCACTGCCGTCATATCCTTCAGCTGTGCAAAGGTGGAAAATGGTTGGGAATCTCAAAGATCAACATTTCCTGAAGAATAGGGAACCACATATTTGCCTTTGCCCTGCATTCTTTAGCCATTTATTTTAAATACTGTTTTTTCTCTTACTGAATATGGTAAGTTGAGTCATGTGAAATTTCTGGCATTCAACTTGTTGACCTATAAAAACGGCAATTTTATATAGTTTAGCCCAATATATGTAGAAGGCATCTTATGTATTTTCTGGATCACAGTGATGACATACAAATGTAAAATTGTTTGTTTATTCATCTGTTCATATTCATTTGTATTTATCCCTTTAAGTTATTAGGGTTACTGGATTTTTTTTTTTTTTTTGGTTTTTGTTTCTGTTATTATTTTAAGACCTATAAACTTTCAAAAAACAGAGACCCTGATTTTAAATAAAAATCTGTACAAGTCAAACCATGTCCTCATTAATTTGGAGGCCACTAGTTCAGAATGCGGGAGAATTTAGCAGCTGCTAGGCTGAAAATAATCCTTAACTTAGCGAATACTTTCTTTAGAAACAGCGAAAATTAACAGTACAAACAAGTGTATAGAGGACGTTTTTGAGAGAATCAGCCATTTGCAAGTTCTTCAGAGGTATATGAAAATTATTTACAAAGAACCAATGCAATCATTTTAAGTTGCTATGTATACTTGAAAAATACTAGTGTTTCTTTAAATGTATTTTATAACTCAGACTTTCCCATGTTAGTCTGGCTTTGTGAAGCATTTTGATACTTACTTAGTAGTTGACATTGCATGATAATAGCGATGCAATTTTGTAACGCAGAGGAAATATGCAAAATGCCTTTTTAGCCAAAAATACATATTTCCTATACTTGATTTTCTTGAAATCCTAGATTCTGTTTGATGAGCTATTCTGTCTGCATTTCAGGTACTATGCCATAATGGTGACCATGTTCTTCACCGTGAGCGTGGTGAACAACTATGCCCTGAATCTCAACATTGCCATGCCCCTGCATATGATATTTAGATCGGTAAGTGCTGCCGGATCCCGTGTGTATGTTCATCTGAAAAGTATAGTTAAATAGGTCAATTGAATATATGGCAGAACTAGAAGGGTCTTGTAGTAAGTGGTCTTGAGTAGAAGAATAGGTTTGTGAATGCATGAGCAAAAATGGCTTTCATCTGAAAAGTAAGGCAAAAAGAGAAATCTCAAAGTGGATGGTTTACTTTTATTCATCTGAGGTCTAATGAGTGATTAATAAAAAGAAAATTAAATTTTCCCTAGGAAACAGATTTTGCCTTCATTTTCCCTTATCTCTTTGATTTTATATTCAAACATGCTATGTTATTTAACGTATTTCTTATCACTTACTTCTTTCTTTCATAAAAGTACATTTACTTCCAGAACATGAAAGAGATACTTGTCTTTTCTGATTTTATTTTTTAAAGCAGAGACTTGAGATAATAAAGGGAAATTCTTGATGAAGGTAGAGTTTCTCCCAAAGCACTCCAGGCAAAAAAGGCTGATAATTGTGATGATAACATTTCCATGTGGTCTGAGATTTTTGTGAGATTGTACTGTTCCCGGAGGGAGTTTCCAAAGCAACTATAATAATTTTTGTTTTGTTTTGTTTTGTTTTGAGATGGAGTCTCGCTCTGTCGCCCAGGCTGGAGTGCAGTGGCCGGATCTCGGCTCACTGCAAGCTCCGCCTCCCGGGTTCCCGCCATTCTCCTGCCTCAGCCTCCCGAGTAGCTGGGACTATAGGCGCCGCCACCTCGCCCGGCTAGTTTTTTGTATTTTTTAGTAGAGACGGGGTTTCACCGTGTTCGCCAGGATGGTCTCGATCTCCTGACCTCGTGATCCGCCCGTCTCGGCCTCCCAAAGTGCTGGGATTACAGGCTTGAGCCACCGCGCCCAGCCAGCAACTATAATAATTAAGGTGACCTTCAAAGCATTGAAAACATAGTAGACTTTCAATAAACACCTGTTGATTGATTGTCGCCTTTTTAGAGAGCAGAGAGATCCTTGCATGACTTTTCCCATTAAAACTAGTCAGGGGCTGGGCGCGGTGGTTCACGCCTATAATGCCAGCACGTTGGGAGGCTGAGGTGGGCGGATCGTTGGGAGTTCAAGACCAGCCTGACCAACATGGAGAAACCTCGTCTCTACTAAAAATACAAAATTAGCTGGAAGTGGTGGCACATGCCTGTAATCCCAGCTACTTGGGAGGCTGATGCAAGAGAATCACTTGAACCCGGGAGGCAGAGGTTGCAGTGAGCCAAGATCACACCATTGCATTCCAGCCTAGGCGACAAGAGCAAAACTCCGTCTAAGGGGAAAAAAAAAGTGTTCAGGGGTGGAGGGTGCAGGTAATAGGGAGAAGCTTATTAAAAGCTCTTATAAATTAGGTAGATGGAAATTTTGACAAATATAAGTCCATGATATCATTTATTCCTGCTAGCCCTAGCTTCAACACTGACCAATTATAGTTGACCCTTGAACAACATGGGTTTGAACCTCATGGATCCACATATCTGCAAATTTTTTTCAAACAAATATGAAAATACAGTATTCGTGGGATGTAAAACATGCCTATAAGTAGGGCTGATAATGACTATATTGAGAATTGATCCTTTTTATTCTCGTTGTCATCTTTAAAAGGTTTTTTTAAAAATATATATACACACACACATATATTTTTGGAGACAGAGTTTCACACTTGTTGCCCAGGCTGGAAGTGCAATGGTGCCATCTTGGCTCACTGCAATCTGCACCTCTTAGGTTCAAGCGATTCTCCTGCCTCAGCCTCCTGAGTAGCTGGAATTACAGGCGCCTGCCACCATGCCCAGCTAAGTTTTGTATTTTTTAGTAGAGACAGAGTTTCACCATGTTGGCCAGGCTGGTCTCAAACTCCTGACCTCAGGTGATCCACCCACCTCGGCTTCCCAAAGTGCTGGGATTATGGGCGTGAGCCACCACGCCCGGCCATCATAATAGCTTTTTATGGTTTATACTTTTGCCGTCATAAGAACAACTAAATCTTACTAATTATTCATCCTAGCCTCCTTCATTCCATGTTTTTCCCCCTTGCCCATGTTCCTATTCATCTCGAATTATGTTTTTTTCCTAGTGCACTAAACCTGTTACTGTTGTCTCCTTTTGCAGGGTTCTCTAATTGCCAACATGATTCTAGGAATTATCATTTTGAAGAAAAGGTAAACAATATACTTCTATATTTTGTGAATGGAAATGATATCCTGAGCCCCTGTCCATAAGCTAGTCATCTGGATTCCTTGTCCCAAAGTAGTGATAAGTTTGCTTCTGGCCATCTACCTCTTTTCTTAGTTCTTTACCAGTGAGGCCCAATCATGCAATGTCCTGAAGCAGCTGACCAGGTAAGAGGCGACACCTGTGGGGTCTCTATGTAGAAGTGAATAGCTCTTGCCATCGTTGAATTTTAGTATCATAATAACCTGCGAAGCCAACTTAAAAAGATGATAGAGAGATTCACTGTGCAGTATGGTCACCATGAACCACGTGTGACTATTTACATTTACATTTTTCAAAATTAAAGAAAATTAAATATTTAGTGTCTCAGTTTCATTAGTCATGTACACTTTTTTTTTCTTTTTTCCTTTTTTGGAGACGAGGTCTCATTCTGTCATCCAGGTTGGAATACAGTGGTGTGATCTCGGCTCACTGCAGCCTCCAGCTCCCAGGTTGAAGTGATCCTTCCACCTCAGCCTCCCAAGTATTTGGGACCAAAGGCATGTGCCACCATGACCAGCTAATTTTTTTTGTATTTTTGGTAGAGATTGGGTTTCGCCATGTTGTCCAGGCTGGTCTCAAACTCCTAGTCACATTTTCAGTGCTCAGTAGACTCACGTGGTGGCAACCATGTTGGAGAGCCCAGACGTGGAACATTTCTAACATCCCAGAAATTCCATGGGATGCTGCTGCCCTAGAAGATGCTTATCAGTACAGCATAGCGAACTAAGGAATGGTTGTACATATTAAAAAGGAAATTCCTAACAAAGGCCCAAATAGCCAAGAAGATGGAAGGAAAGGTTCAGGGCTGTTCTTTGTGACCATCACCAGTGGCTCTCTTTGGGATAGGAGCAGGAGGTACCAGAAGTACCTGGGATGCTTTTTCAAAGTATTTGTCTCTCACCTTCACTCTGAGCTTCACCCCTCACTCCTAAGCAGGAAGGATGTTAGCGAGAGACAACACATACAGTTTGGGAAATTTCTCAGGGAAAGTTCACTGGTAAGACCAAAACTATGTAAGTGATGGCAACTTTTCAATGTATTTGATATCCAGCCCCAAGCTCTCTATACATGCTTGGAAAGTAGCTTTCAATTCAGAATGTGAGAACCTAGAGTTTTTAAGTATTAAGGGCTGTGTCATAAAAAGAACAGCTGTCCTGTCCTACTAGGCTCCGTATCATGGACCCTTTATCTCCTGAGGCTTATGAATTCCCTGAAAAGTACTACTGTAGTTTTCTTTCTTTCTTCTTGGTTCTCTGCATTTCAACATGTATACATATGATGGTCAGGTTTATTACCTTTGAAGTGATCACTGTGCTTCTTATCGTGTGGAATTCGCCTTGGGACAGGCCTGTGCTCTTTTCCAACCTTTGATTCTGGCTCGTAACAAGGATACCAAAGAACATGTTATAAGAGGAGTTGTGTTCTCCTGGTATTGCCCCAAAATATTAGGGGTCTTTCCCAAGCATCTGTTGCCCTTAAGAACTTGTTCTGACGGTGTCATCTTGCATCTGTCTAAGCCTTTTGACTCTTTTCTATGTGTATCTCTTTCCCATAGAGCAGGAATTTCCATAAGTTAACCTTCCAATAGAGTGAATTAACTTCTTATCTCCTTTTCTCTTGGGTAGAAGACCCTCAAGTTCATAGTGTGCTCCTCATTCCAAGATTGGAAGATCAAATCTATATTCACCTTACCCATGCCTTTATTATTCTTTTTGGCCTGAGTTGTAAACCTCTTCAGCGTGATCTTTCCGAACTGAAGAGGTTCTTTTTTTTTTTTTTTTTTTTTTGAGACGGAGTCTGGCTCTGTCGCCCGGGCTGGAGTGCAGTGGCCGGATCTCAGCTCACTGCAAGCTCCGCCTCCCGGGTTTACGCCATTCTCCTGCCTCAGCCTCCCGAGTGGCTGGGACTACAGGCGCCCGCCACCTCGCCCGGCTAGTTTTTTTTTGTATTTTTTAGTGGAGAAGGGGTTTCACCATGTTAGCCAGGATGGTCTCGATCTCCTGACCTCGTGATCCGCCTGTCTGGGCGTCCCAAAGTGCTGGGATTACAGGCTTGAGCCACCGCGCCCGGCCGGTTCATTATTTTTTACCATATGTCCGCTCATACCTGCTTCCTCCCCAACTGCTCTCTAACGTGGTCTTCTTGGCCCTTTTGGTCCCTTTCTCTGCTTATTAGCTAGTTCTGCTGGCCTTTTACAAAGTACTGTGACCAAAACAATACTATGTATTTGAGTAGAAAACCTGGGATGGTTCATCTTCTTAGTTAAATTTCTTTTAATCCTTGCCCGAGGCCTTTTGCTTGATCACCAAGAATCTGAGAGGGTGCTAATGATGCTAGCTAATGTGAAATGGTACTGTTATTACTGCCTGTAGTTCTATAATCTGAATATCCTTCCCCTCATCCAACTATGCCAACATTTTAAAACAACATTAAGTCATTCAGAGATTTAAAAAAACAAGCCTCCCCCAGAGAATGGATGATTGGATTATGTTCTGAGTATTGAATCCTGCTACTTGCACCTGATAGCCTGTTCTTCCACTTGCATAGTGTGTCTTAGGACACAGATTTGGGCCCCCTAAAGACAGGAAAAGCAACAGATCCTAGTAAGGACTGGGTCAGGCTTTCATTTGGACTCTTGAGAGCAGAATGCAACATCACATCCGGTCTATTTCTGTTTTTATTTCCTGATGAAATAATCGATTGGTCAACAAAGTGTTGGAGACAGACTAAACAGTACCAAGGAAAAGTGTTGGTTAGAAACCAGTCAGTATCCTGATTCATTCATATGCATACTTCTGTGGACTCTGCTGGAAAATAATCCCGTCTGTCATATTTTAGTGATTTGTACTTTCACGCACCATCTGATTGTAAATATCACTGGGAAATTCATATCTGTGCTTTCCTAAGGTGTTTTTCTTCTTCTTTTTTTTTTTTTTTTTTTGCAGATACAGTATATTCAAATATACCTCCATTGCCCTGGTGTCTGTGGGGATATTTATTTGCACTTTTATGTCAGCAAAGCAGGTGGTAAGAAGCTCACAAATCATTTTATGTTCACTACTTGCTATTGGGGCCCAGTTACCAGGCAATTAATAAAATTCAAAATTTTAGGTAATACAAAGATTTTGAAAGAGAAGAGGGGAGGGAAATGGGTAACATAAATATTTCCCTTGTATGTTGGCGCCTTGCATGTAGTTCTGCTCTCTGTACCTAGTTTATTTTCTTATTTCCTAGACTTCCCAGTCCAGCTTGAGTGAGAATGATGGATTCCAGGCATTTGTGTGGTGGTTACTAGGCAAGTACAATAATTATAATAAAGCTAATTGCCTCTGCAGTTGTGTTTGCTGAGTTTTCTCCTAAGAGACGTGTTTCTTGGCAAGAAGCTTCAGCTAAACAAATTATGCCATGGAAGAGAGGCACCTGGGATCATATTTCTCTGAACCTTAGCGTTCAAGAAAGGAAAAAAAGAAAATGCCCCCACATCCGTGGCAATATGTTCTACAACATGGATCCATGTTTTTCTTGGATGCCACTGGTGTAGAAAGAAGTGTGTGTCTACTTGCCCATCACACTCTTTGAATGTCATCCGTCTCTTCACGATCTGTCTGCCGAGCTGAAGCTTCTGCAAGAGAAGGGCCCGTTAGAGCAATTGACTCTTTAAATTTCCGAGGGACTCATTTCTATAGACTTATTTTCTTCAGAGGTTAGCTGTTCCATATGGCAGTGTTCCCAAACCTGACTGATCATCAGAATCTCCTGGGGAATTTTTAAAAATACAAGGATCTCTCTGTGGAATTAAATAGGCAGCTCCTGGAGAGCTTTGTTCTCCTGTTTTTTGATACGGAGGTGAGATCGTCCCAGGGGCTTTCAATGATAACAATAACAGATTGAGACTGACCAAGTGGAAGAGAAATAGCAGTGAAAGAACTGTGTCCTCCTTGCTTCTTGGCTTTGAAACTTTATCCCTTTAGGTTGCTGTTTGTAACATAGAAAGATCCTCATGCGCTATTAGAAAAATACCCAATGAGAAAAATGTGCAAAGGATGTGAACATATAGTTCACGGGGGAAATAGTAGTACCCAACAATTTTAGGTTCAGCCTCACTAGTCTAGTAATCAAATAAATGCAAATTGAAACCCAAATGCAATACCTTTTTATGTTGGCCTATCATACCGGCAAGATGGTAAATGGTTATCTCATTGCTGCTGAGGGTACAGTAAGACAACTATTTTTATAAAAATAGTTTGGGCATAAATGGACACAGCTTTTACGGAAAAATATATATGTATATTTTTAAATATATTTATTTATAAAAAGTATTGTATTTTTTAAATGTCCAACAGCCTTTGACTCAGTAATTCCACTTATGAGGGTTTATCCTAAAATATATCAACATTTGTTTAAAGATTTGTATACAAGGATGTACATTGATTTTAATAATGAAATAATTGGAAATAACCATTCTCATACATCTAAGTATGCTATATCCATATCATAGTCATTAAAAGCATTCTTTTGAAAAAATTTTAATGACTGATTTGAAGGAAAAGTCCAGGCAAAAGCTCATGAAAAAAGCAAGATATAAAATTCCATATGCAATCTGATCCTGTCTTAGTGTAAAAAAAATTTACATAAACGAATATATAAGGAGATGTAGAAAGCTGTAAAGGACTAGATGGTAATAATATATTTTTATTTCTTTTTACAATTTTGTACATGTTCTACAATTAGTTTGTAATATTTGCAGGACTTTAAACAATAATGTTCTTCAAGAAGAACATCTGGAAATGAACAAATGCAGACATCTTGTAACCTGATGTTTTTTAGGTATTGGGGCACTGACTTTTGCTCTTCTGATGTCCGCAAGGATGGGTATATTCCAAGAGACCCTCTACAAACAATTTGGGAAACACTCCAAGGAGGCTTTGTTTTATAATGTAAGCCACTTGTTGAACCTGGGAGCATGGAAATTCCTAAGTTGTAAAATGTTACTCCAAGTGAACTATTCCCATTCTTCTGATGTAAAATGTTACTCCAAGTGAACTATTCCCATTCTTCTGGTGTAGTTGGAGGTTGATTATTAGTAGATGGCTGTAAGACCCACAGACTGAAGCGGTTTTGATGGGATGCTCTGGTGGGTTCTGAGTCACAGTTCACTGCATGAGATGACACAATCAATCAAAGCGAATTAAATTGTGTCTGCATATGTAGCAAGTCCTTTTGTGCAGAATGACTATATGTTTAAATTTCTCCATTCCCTGTTGTTGAGGAAAGGATGCTGGCTCCGTTGTTTGCTTTGCCTGTGATGGCCCTCAGACCCTATAAGGGCAAGAACCATAATTTGGGAGTTGATATCCTGCCATACAATGTGAAGTAGTCAAGAAGCACCGTATACATTTAAGTCTAACTTGCTTTTCTTTATATTGCTGTCAAACAACCTGTACAACTTTTAATCATTGTAAAGCTACTCTAATTATTCTATAATGTTTTTGCACTTACACTTATGTGACCAATTTCTTTCCACAGCACGCCCTTCCACTTCCTGGTTTCATCTTCTTGGCTTCTGATATTTATGACCATGCGGTTCTATTCAATAAGTCTGGTGAGTTTGGGGTTAGACAGTAGAATTACCTGACAGTTTCTGAGGCAGAGTCTCAGTTTTACTCTTGACTTGACCACGGCCTTTTTCATGATCCTGTTCAAATCATGTGTTCCTTTCGAAAATGTCTCCATTCCACTTTCCAGTCATTGCTGCAGCAAAAGCTTTCAGAGGAGTTTCTCAATTATTTACAAATGAAGTAAAAGAATATTTTTGAGTTTTCTATTTTGCTTTGATATTTGTGTGTTTGCATTTGAATGTGAAATGTTTGATGTTTTGAGAATGCAAATGAATACTTATAGCACACTGCAGAGACTGGAGCCCTGAGAAGTTGGGCTGCCGTCCAGCTCTCTCAACTGCTGTTTATCCTTCTCTGTCGTGAAAGGCAGAGCTGCTCACAGATCCATCCCAAGCTGCCGTGGAGCAGAGCAAGAGGGGAGCTCCATGATGACAAGGTTTTTCTTCTAGTTACACATGAGATAGGCAGCAGATGAATAAGCAAAATTAGTTTTAAGCTTCTAGTGTAAGTTAGCTGTCACTTTTTTAAATGGTCAATTAATAAATTAGCTATAGATTGTCAGTTAACTTGAAAGGGATCACTTATATGATCTGATTATCTACTAACAGCATTATATAGACAGTGAACACACAAGGAACAAATAAACATTTTTAAAATCAAGCTTTTATGTTGCACACACCTCAAATGCTTAAGTGCATTTTGTGGAATGACAGTAGGTGCTCAGTAAACATTTGTTTGCTATCTGAGCATGAATCGTGAAGTTATGACTATTCTCTGCATTTATAGTGTTGCCTCTCCCATTTGCCCCACCCCCCAAAAAATGTGAAGGTAGTGTGTAAGAAAGTTTGTAAGGCTCTGAATTACTCAAATAATCATGTCTTCATATTAACACAACAGTTTTTAAGATCTCTGAGAAATCCCACACAGCAAAGGGCTATTGAAATAAAAATGTCAAATTCCATGTGATTGATTTAATTGTTAGAATGCTTCTAAAAATCACAGGGCTAGGCATTTATGATAAAATGTTTTACAGAATCTGCCTTCAACTTCTTCAGAATCATTTCCAAGTTAAAGATACATTTTCCTTCTCTTGCTTTTCTTGAGATTAAGTGTCTGAGATCTGTGAATTTTCCAAGAGAGCTAAATGTCCATCAAAATAAGTGATATCATTGTCTTTCCTTCAGAGATACAGTGTATCTCTGAAGTTATTAAAAAGTAATCACTTTTGTTAGCTTCCTTTTCATTTCAATATTTGCTAAGTATATCAAAGACAGTAGAATACCAGATTATTGGCATTGCCCACTGATCCAGAACCAAGTTCCAAAACTTAGTCTTTATGTGTGTGTGTGTGTATATATATGAGACATTTTATTGGTGAAAGAAAATTGATGTTTATTTTCTTACCAGATCTCAGCATCATTGTATCAGAATTTCTTAAATTATGCTGTATAATTCAAAACCTGAAAACAATTTAGTAATACAAAAAAACTGACCCGTTGAGGATTTCTATGTCTTTATTCTCTTTCATCTTAGATATTTTATTTCCTCCCACAAATTTACTGTGCAAGTGTCATTATATAAAGCTAATATAAGAGTGAGTGTGTGTGTGTGTGTGTGTGTCTGTCTTTTAAGAGAGACAGGACCTCCCTATTGCCCAGATTGGTCTCGAACTCCTGGGCCAAAGGGATCCTCCTGCTTTGGCCTCCAAAAGTGCTAGGATTACAGGCGTGAGCCACTACTCCTGGCCTAAAACTAACATAAGAATATATTTAAAGTTATTCACAGTTCCATCAACCTAGACATCTGCTAATTTTATTTTTATTGGTTTTCTTCTAGACCATGTCTATTTACAGAGATTCTTACATAGCTGTAATCCTTGGGTGGATATAATTTTATATTTGTTTTTTACTTTTTTTCTGAGTTTTATGTGGCTATATAATCTCTACAATTTTCGTTTTTATCAAATGTACAATGCCTCCTCTAATGAAAGTACCTTTGTTTATGTAGCCATTGCACCATCATTGGACATTTGATTGATTTTGATTCAGAGTTATTCTTTATTATGTGTAGTACTTTAATGAGTGCAGAACTTTTTTCTTCCTTGGAATTAACTAGGATTAATTCTGAAGGATGGGTATGAATAGTTTCATACCCTTAATAAGGATTATGAAATTGATTTTTTGAAGAATGAAACCAAGTTATACTGCCACCAACCTGTGGCTGCCAGTTCCATCACCAACTTGCCGGATTAAGATATTATTTATAAATTTTGAATTGGCTAGGCACAGTGGCTCAAGCCTGTAATCCCAGCACCTTGGGAGGCCAAGACAGGCAAATCACCTGAAGTCAGGAGTTCAAGACCCGCCTGGCCAACATGGCGAAACCCTATCTCTACTAAAAATACAAAAATTAGCCAGGTGTGCTGTTGTGCACCTGTAGTCCCAGCTACTTGGGAGGCTGAGGCACAAGAATCACTTGAACCTGGCAGAGGTTGCAGTGAGCTGAGATCACGCTACTGCACTCCAGCCTGGGTGACAGAGTGAGACTCTGTCTGAAAAATAAATACATAAATATTGAATTGCTAATTTTGTAGCTATAAAATGGTACAGTCTTATTTACTTTGGAATTCTGTAATTACTAGTGTGATTGAACATATTTCCAAACGGTATTTAGTTACTAGCCGCCATTCCTCTTGTGTTGAGTAGTTAAGGCTGTCTGTATCATTTTATCATTCTCAACTTTTCTGTGCTTCGCAGTGTTTCTTTGTAAAGTGAGGTACTAGTCAGGCAAATGGTAAAGCATTTCCTTAAAAATTAAAACGACTATTTGTTTTAAGAAACCAATTTAATGACTTTAGTGGCTGCCATAGACTGGAGTCAAGGCAAGTAAAGTGATGTGTGGTCCAATTCTATTTGCAAGGAAGACAATGTTGCTGTTCCTATTATGTTCAGTCTGTATTACCCTGTTCAAACTATGAAAAATTCAGCTGTGAAAAAGTGATGTGGCTATATCCTCTTGTAACCTCTACAGAGTTATATGAAATTCCAGGCATCGGAGTGACCCTGCCCATCATGTGGTTCTACCTCCTCATGAACATCATCACTCAGTATCCTTTGGACTCTGCCGTCACCTTTATGTCGTCTTCAGGTTCCTTTGGCATAGGAATGGTCATTCTTGTCTTCCAACAGTGTGTTGACTTGAATCTGATTTTTGCTGGATTTATTCTGCAGCAAGCTGGAGACAGACCCATTCAGGGAACTCCTTGTAGAGGGCAGAAGAGGTGCTAGTGGTGCAGTAGGTCAGTAAGGCACAGGGCAGCAGGAGGAAGTGCCCTGAGTGGAAGCAGAGGAGTCCATTGATTGATAGTGGCGGGTGCGGTGGCTCACGCCTGTAATCCTAGCACTTTAGGAGGCCGAGGCGGGCAGATCACTTGAGGTCAGGAGTTTAAGACCAGCCTGGCCAACATGGTGAAACCCCATCTCTACAAAAATACAAAAGTTAGCCAGGCATGATGATGGGTGCTTGTAATCCCAGCTACTCCATAGACTGAGACAGGAGAATCGCTTGAACCTGAGAGGTGGAGGTTGCAGTGAGCTGAGATCATGCCATTGCACTCCAGCCTGGGTGACAGAGCGAGACTCCATCTCAAAAAACAAAAAACTGTATAGCTTGAATCATCTGTGATTTCTACCTGTGATTTTTTGGTGTCCTAAGGTATTTCCAGTGATCACAAGCTGCTGCAAAGTCCTGAAAGAAATTTCAAATTAAGAGGCTGAGGTGGGAGGATCACTCAAGTCCAGGAGATCGAGGCTGCAGTAAACTTGATCACTCCACTGCACTCCAGCCTGGGTAACAGAACATGACCCTGTCTCAAAAAAAAAAAAAAAGAAATTTCAAAATAGCTTTCATTTTTTAAAATAGTTATTTCGAATGATCTTATATTCATTATGAAAATAATTATGTCTTTGAAGTAGTAAAACGAATCACAGTTGACCTCATTCCTCTGAAGTCAGCTCCTTGATTTGCCATAGAGTCCCTTTCTGGAGGAGAGGATAGAAGGGCTGGAGGCAAGATAAATAAAGGTGAATGGGATCACCCTTACCGAGAGTGTCACCCTCTGTCATTACCTTGGAGGTGCCTGTCATTGTAACCATAGGAAGACTCCAACATAAGAATAATTGGCAGTTTTTTAGGCAGTTTCGAATTGGTACCCACAAATGGAATGGCAGCACAGTTGTTCTGCAGGTTCTCCCCAGGAGGAGCCTCATAGCTGCCATAGCAGAACTTCATGTTTTCTTAGAATATGAGAAGTTAAGCCAGGGACCATGCCAGAAGGTTCTCCCACTGATCCCCCAAGTATAGTCTACAGAAAACTACCTTGACTCCACTCCTCCAGGTACGTGTGCATCCGGGGCGTGTTCATCCTCACCACGGAGTGCGCCTCCCTCACCGTCACGCTCGTCGTGACCCTACGCAAATTTGTGAGCCTCATCTTTTCCATCTTGTACTTCCAGAACCCCTTCACCCTGTGGCACTGGCTGGGCACCCTGTTTGTCTTCATTGGGACCTTAATGTACACAGAGGTGTGGAACAACCTAGGGACCACAAAAAGTGAGCCTCAGAAGGACAACAAGAAGAACTGAGACCTGCCTGGAGTACGTAGACCGGTGTCGTCGTGAGGGAGGGACCACCGTTTCGCTTTTGTTAATGCCGAGCTACCCGCAGTGCTGAGCCAGCCATGCCACAGGAAATCTTCAGGAGGAGGGGACTTCTCATATTGCTCATACTGACACGTGTAGACTGAATAGAAACCCCTCAGCCCTAAAATAGAAAAAAGAACAGTTCTGGACTATTGAACAGCCCATTCATTTATTTGTTTTGTTTACCAAAATATTCAGTATTATTCTTGTTTATTGAATTCTGAGCCTCCATGAACTACTGGCTTACTATCCATGGTCTTGGAAAACATTGTCCCTTCTGTTGCTGTTCTAATGCATCTCTGCCACAGCAGTCATTGTCATCCTGTGGCCTTATCCCTTTTGTCTCCCATCACCTTTTCCTTCCTCAGCAGCACCTCACTGTCAGTCAGACGCTGCAGGCACCACCATCACCAGGAGTGGCCAAGTAAACTGAGACACTGGTAACAGCGGGGCTGGACTTCCTCCCGCGTTTTGGGAAGGAAACAGATGTTCCCTTGAGCTGATTCCCAGTGACACCGGAGCAACACTAGTGGGACTCCTCTTTCCCAGATTTTGCTTTTTTTTTTTTTCCCTATGCAAAAGTCAGATGCTTCTATCCGTTGCTTTCTGTGGTTAGGGCAGCCCTGCAGCATATCTCACAGCAGACACAGTGTTCATAACAAAGAAAGGTTGTGCCGGGCACGGTGGCTCATGCCTGTAATCCCAGCCCTTTGGGAGGCTGAGATGGGCGTATCACTTGAGGTCAGGAGTTCAAGACCAATCTGGCCAACATGGTGAAACCCCAACTCTACTAAAAATACAAAAATTAGCTGGGTGTGGTGGCGCATACCTGTAATCCCAGCTACTTGGGAGGCTGAGGCAGGAGAATCACTTGAACCCGGGAGATGAAGGTTGCAGTGAGCTGAGGTCTTGCTGCTGTACTCCTGCCTGTGCAACAGAGTGAGATTCTATCTCAAAAAAAAAGAAAGAAAGAAAGGTTGTTACGGACTGGGCACCCCTGAAGCCCATTACCTAGGCCACAGTGGTGACAGCAGGATGGCCCTGCCCAGCACCACAAGAGCCATGGCTGCCCCTGTTGGCCCAACCGGGCACTCACAGGGCAGAAGGGTAGGTCTCCAGTGGGAGGATAAAGCTTCACCACCAGGAGATTCCCCTCTGCCCGATGACTCTGATAGAGTCACGACCAGTCAGGGGAATGCATAGATGGAGATACGTAGTGTGTGATGTGTAAATCAGGTCAAACCTCAACTACAATTGAAAGTTGTTATTTTATTGCCCTATAAGGTATCTTACCATTCTCAGTGGGTATTGAGGATGGTTCGATGTGCTTTATTGTATGTGGAAACATGCCTCTCTTTGCTAATCATTTCAGAGGTCCAGATTTCCTCTCACGGGACAGTCTTGAGTAGGAGGAACACTGTCGCTGTAATATGCGTAGTTTGTGTGTACTTTTTGTAGTCTGTGTGTGATCAAAGGGCACGGAAGTGGCTGCGCTTTCACGTCCCCTTTCTTTACTTAGCTGGGACCTTACATGCCAGTACATGCTCCCCTGTAAGCAGCTGAATTCGCCGGCCACTTCTCCTTTTGCCTATAGACAAAGACTGTGTGTGTGTGTCTGTGTGTGTGTGTGTATGTGTGTGGTTGTAGTGCACACATTGTGTTCTTAAACTGAGACGTGGCTCTCCAGGTCTCCTGGGCTCATTCCATGGTGTGATATGTTTATTCCACTGTCCAGAGCTATTCTCTGATGGATTTGAGCTACGGCAGTGGAAATAAATGTCCTAGAGTCATCAGGTCGCTTGGAGAAGAAGTCATTTAAGCTGCCTCGGGTTTTTGTTACTTAAAATGTGGATATTATTTCTCCACCTAAATCACTGAGTTTACAGAGTAATAATGTGTTGCTCTGGACATTAACAGTGTTCTAGAGCCAGTAATGGGCTCTTCTGAAAGATGCTCAATTAGAAGTGAACCCATTCATAGGATCAAAAGCCACTTGCTTTGAAATACGTAGAGTTCCTCAGAATTGACGGTGCTAGAAATATCCAAGTGTTATATAACCTCTTAAAAGCAACAAAAGCTACTTTTTTCTTATCACCTAATAGAAGAACCTGTCCCTAGAGGCGACTTGATTACCACATATCTGGAGTCTCTGAACTCTTAATAGGATGCAGCCTCACATACATAATAACACCCATTTTATGTTGATGAAAACATTACAGGTTTTCATTATTGGGTATGTGTTGATGTGCGCAGACAGCACTTGGGCCCATTAGGTTTTAGCATCTGGTCTTAGAGCATGTGTGTTCATCTCAATGTGAATACTTCAGCCAGTCTTATGAATAGGAGGCCATGCATGGGCACAGAATAGGTTAGAACGCTCGTACAAGATGACCACATATAGAAGCAGAAAGCCCCAAATCCCCTGGGAACTGGTTTTTCTCTAGTAGCTGAATATAAGCAAATATGTCTAATGGACACCAGTTAATACTTTTTAAAACTACTCTTAAAAAAAAATATATGTTCCCCTTGGTTAACTGATTTTTCAATCCAGGATGGACATTTTTTCAACCTTTATTAAAAGGACAAATAAACTATTTTGAAGATCAGACTCCTACCTAACTGGAAGAGAAATGTCTATTAAATGTCTCTCCTCTTTCTCCGGGTCAAGACCATGTAATTTTATGCTTCAGAGATGAGGATATAGTTTGTTTACAAAGAGTTTAGTCTTTAGGACATCCAAAACTGTATGCTAGAGCAAAAATCAAATAGCAAAGGACACTAGCCAGAAAATACGATGTATGTGTGTGTGCACCTGTGTGCCTGCTGAATAACTTGACAGTATAACAGATAAGGTAACAGAAGATGGTGGCTATTTGAATTGTATTAGCTTAATGTCTGCATATCTTTGGCCAAAACTCTATTGTCATATTAGAAACATGTTATCTTCTCCATGTTTATTAGTTTATTTTTTATTGTTTTCTTTTTCATCCAACTAAAACAACTGTAATGTACTTGATACATTTACATCAAGTTCTAAAGTATTTAGACAAATCCAAATACTTTGTTTTTAGTTTTTTCCTCCTTTCCATCCAGTTAACCACAGTGAAATGCTGCAGTATTTGGATTTGGTCAGTGCTCCAGAGGAAGACCATGAAAGCTGAATTGGTCTGTGCCACCCAGAGTAAACCTCTTTTCTTCTGGAAAGAGGGCGTGATGTTTTTCAAGGATTCTAACAAATATCTCGCAGTCATCTCCTGAGCACCTTTCCTCTATTTCACTTCCAAACTCCTTCCCCCACTTTCTTCACTCCAGTTTCTTCACTTGCAGTGTTTTCTGCTAAGAAAGACCTATGATCTTGTATCTGCTTATGCCTCTATTCTTTGGGGCCTCTGGATGTTTTTGTGGATTTTTACAGAGTATTTATATCTGCACAGCATGTATTTTGTTATACATTCTTATACGCATTGATATTGGGGGGGTATATTTGTAATAGTAAGAATATCTGGCAGAGTACGTGAATGCCATATCTGTAGATGAGGATGAACATGAAGGGTTAATGTAGAAATGTTTGTTTATTGTGTTACAGCCCAAAATGGGGGCTGAGAGTCTGTACCACCATTCCCTTCTCTATTTGAGAATCTATACCACCATTCCCGTCTCTATTTGGGAAACAATACTTTTCTTATTTTGCTATTTTTACCTTCCCATTAACTAGTTTCACTCAACAGTGCCAGATGCCTATGGAGAGGGGAAGTAAAACACCTTAGGTCAGGAATAATTATAAACCAATGAGTTAGCTCAGGGCTGATGGACATGTTCACTGGTGGACCAGGTGGCATTGACCTAAGCAGACAGAGAAATACACCACACGGAGGAGAACCACATTGAAATCAAGATCTATTATATTTTGTTTTTCTTTGCTTGGAGTAAATAGCATTATAAGTCATTCAATATTATATTGAAATCAAGTCTATTATATTTTGTTTTTCTTTGCCTGGAGTAAATAGCATTATAAGTCATTCCACCCTTATTAGATAACCAAAGCATTTTGGTCTCAATAGCTTTCTTCTGAAAAATTTGAATCTTACGTGTGGCAGTTCACTCTTAAGGTTGAAAGAACTGTCAATATAGATAAAATCCATTCCTTAGTATTGATTGGCGTGACATTTGAAAATATGTCTAAACAATATTTGTAAGTAAAAGAACTAGTCATAAGCTTCGGATGTGTTCAGTATGTACCAAGCTGGAATGGAGACTGGCCCCTCTTGGCTTTGTAGCATGTTGTCTTTTTCCAGCAGCTTCCTCCTAGTAGACATTCCAGGGGTGAGAGGGGCCAGGGATCATGTCTTATTTCTGTATCGCCAGCCCCTGGCATATGGTCTGGCTTATGTTACATGAACAAATGAATGCTTGCCAAGATCTCTTCTCCCTCACGTTTCTGGAAAACCTGAAGGTTCCTGATACCAGCTCCCACTCTATCAGCTGGTTAGCAAGAAAGCAAATAAGGGGAAACATTCCTCACATTCCAAGCAAGAGAAGGAAGAAGGACCATTGGGAGGAAGTACACCAGCGATTGCTCAGTGTGCAGCCTGCTACCTCGCCTTTGGCTCTCTGGATTGCCTGGTGGTAGAAGGGAAGAGCATTATGTAGTTAGCACCTTGCATATTTGATGCTCAGGAAGAAAGTGCAAGGAGATCCCTAATAGAACATTAAAGATTCTTAAAAAGTTTCTGAAGTAGGCTGCCTGGGGTGACCAGCCCCCCCCTTACATCTCTCCATAGCTGGTACAGTTAGCTTGCAGCAGGTGAAGCTGATGCCTGGAGATCACTGTCTGTCGGTCTGATCTCAGTATCATACTGAGGCACCCCCCTGAGCCTTACCTACTTAAATTACTAACCGTCCTACCAAAATTTGTCAATTTTAATCAAATGAGGCAAGTTGCAAGGGAGCCAGAGATATGTGAAAAAAGAAAAGCAGAAATCCTAATACTTTCTAAGAAAGAAGTTGTAATAATTTCTTTGGCACATTGACTTACTGATATCTTTTGAAATGCATAGACGACTCTTGTGAACCAAAGAAAGCAGCAGTGGTTATTCCCCGGCGCAATAAAAATGCCTTTGTGTATCACTTGCGATTGCCAGTCATTTCTGTGCCAGTTGCTTTCATTCCAGAGAATGGCCTCATTCTCCAAAAAAAGACTATGATTTTTAGAAGTAGGATTTCCTAACAAATTATGTGGTGGGGAGGGATGGTGGGGATTTTATTCATCCCGTCTGATCTCTTCATTCAGTACTACCATTAGGTTTTAAGAACAAAGATGGGGGAGGAGGGAGTAGAAAGCTGAGAGTATGTAGAACAGCTACAAGACATTAGTGGGTATTCAGATTTTGAGCTGTGTAAATATCAAACGTCGGCTTCCAGCCTTAAGAGTTATTTGAGCAAAGAGTTAAGGAGAAATGGGAGATTTTGTGAATAAAATGTTTTGCCAAACTGAATGAGTCTTTTTGCCATTATTTCTCAGAGAGAGCCATATTTTACCTTCTGGAACAACTCATCAGACATCTGGGGTTTATCTTGAATTGTACCATCATTGTTTCTTAATAAAAGTGATACATTTCTTGCAGGTGTTTCCAATCACCATTACCTTTGAAGTGCCTGTATGCAGTTTCAAAAGCTCTCCAATTTTTACCTTGTAAAGTGGCAGTGGCATAGTTTACTACAAACGATTGTCAGCAACCTGTCTTCCTAATTCCTCACAGCTGGATCAGTAATAAAC